TTTGGAGTTCGCCATCGGTTAGAGCGTCCAAGATGGCGAAACATGGCTCCAAGAAAACATCCGGTGCTCCAAGATGGCCTCCAAGATGGCCCAAGATAGCCGACGATAGCCCTGCGAATTATGGGAAACGCATTTTTCTTCAAAAAAACGTACTCAATGAGCCGGAATTGCGTTTCCCATGTTTTTTAATTGTGGGAAACGCAATCCCGGACGACTGCCCCAAGCACACATTGCACGGGAAACGCAATTCTGGCCCAATGAGTGGGGTTTTTCCCGGGAAATTGCGTTTCCTATAATTCGGTTTCGCGGAATTCGAATTATGGGAAACGAGCTTTCTTTGAAAAAACGCACTCAATGGGCCAGAATTGCGTCCCCCATAATTCCGCAATTTCCAAGGAAAAACAGCACTCAATGGGCCAGAATTGTGTTTTCCATCATTCGAAGTTATGGGAAACGCAATTCTGGCCAATCGAGTGATGTTTTTCAAATTAAATTGCGTTTCCCATAATTCGGAATTCGACTTCTGGGAAACCGAACTATGGAAAACACATTTTCCAAAGAAAAACCGCACTCAATTGGCCAGAATTGTGTTTTCCATAATTATTCTGGCCAGTCGAGTGCTGCTTTTCAAAAGAAATTGCGTTCCCCTTAATTTGGAATTCGAATTCTGGGGAACCGACCTATAGGAGACGCAATTTCCTTGGAAAAAACGCACTCAATGGGCCAGAATTGCGTTTCCCGCAATTCGGAATTATGGGAAACGCAATTCTGGCACATTGAGCGCTGTCTTTCAAAGGAAATTGCATTTCCCATACTTCGGAATTCGAATTCTGGGAATCCGAATTATGGGACGCGCAATTTCCCATGAAAAACCGCACTCGATGGGCCAGAATTGCGTTTCCCATAATTCGGAAGTCTGGGAAACGCAAGTCTGGCCCATTGAGTGCTGTTTTTTCAAAGGAGCTTGCGATTCCCATACTTCGGAATTCGAATTCTGGGAAGCCGAATTATGGGAAAAGCAATTTCCCAGGAAAAACCGTACTCAATGGGCCAGAATTGCGTTTCCCATAAGTCGGAATTGTGGGAAACGCAATTCTGGCCCATCGAGTGTTGTTTTTCAAAGGAAATTGCCGAACTATGGGAAACCAAGGGGCCAGCATTGCGTTTCCCACAATTCGGAATTATGGGAAGCGCTATTCTGGCACATTGATAGAGTGCTGTCTGTCAAAGGAACTTGTGCTTCCCATAATTCGGAATTCGAATTCGGGGAAACCGAATTATGGGAAACGCAATTTCCTTAGAAAAACCGCACTCCGTGGGCCAGACTTGCGTTTCCCATAATTCCGAATTATGGGAAACGCAATCCCGGCCCATTGGATACGGCTGGTCAACGGAAATTGCGCTTCCCATAATTCGGAATTCGAATTCTCGGAAACGCGTTTCCCGAGCAATGTGTCGGGGCAGTCGTCTGGGGCTGCGCTTCCCATAATTAGCCCTCTTCATATTGTTGAATTATAGAAAACGCAAACCCGGACGGCAGCCATCAAGATGGCCCCAGGATTGCCCAAGAGAGACCCAAGAGCGGCCCAAGAGGCCCCCCAGACGACCCCCTATAGCGCTCAAGAGCGGCCCAGGAACGCCCCAAGAGGGCCCCAAGAGGCGAAGTTGATGGCCCCAGCGGGGGAGGAACACTGGGGACCGCCCCACTCTGATTGGCCCCAAGATGGCCCTAAGAGGCCCTCCAGGGCTGCACAGGGGCCCCCGAGAGGGCTCCGAGAGGGCCCCGAGACCCTCCAAAAGAGCCCCAATAGGACCAGAAGATCCCCTGAAAGAGTCCCAAGAGGACTCCAAGAGGCGATTGTGAGGTATATGGTATCGTCCTCGTTGTCCCCCTCCTCCTCCTCCTCCTCCTCCTCCTCCTCCTCCTCCTCCTCCTCCTCCTCGTCCTGTCCTCCTCCTCCTCCCTTCTGATCCTCCTCCTCCTCTTCCTCCTGTTGTCTCTCCTCCTCTCCTCCTCCTCCTCCTCCTCCTCCTCCTTCTCTCTTCTTTCTCTCCTCTCCTCCTCCCTTCCTCCTCCTCCTCCTCCTCCTCCTCATCCTGCCTCTCCTCCTCTCCCCTCCTCCTCCTCCTCCTCCTCCTCTCCTCTCCTCTCCTCCTCCTCCTCCTCCTCCCTCCTCCTCCTCCTCCTCTTCCTCCTACTCTTTCTCCTCCTCTTCCTCCTCCTCCTCCTCCTCCTCTTCGTCCTCGTCCTTGCCCTCATCGTCGTCCGTTTCATTCTCCCCTCTTCCTCGTCGTCGTGGTTGTCGTGGTCGTCGTCCTCGTCGTGGTGGTGGCCGTGGTCGTGGTCGTAGTCGTGGCCGTGGTCGTGGTCGTGGTCGTGGTCGTGGTCGTCGTCGTCGTCGTCGTCCTGCTCATCCTGCTCCTCATGCTCCTCATGTTCCTCATGCACCTCCTGCTCCTCATGCTCCTCCTCCTCCTCCTCCTGCTCCTCCTCCTCCTCCTCCGCCTCCTCCTCCTCTGCCTTCCCTCGCCCCCACGCGGGCCCTGGGGATGGCAGGAAGAGGCACTTCAAGGCCCCCCCTTGCTCCCAGAGATCGCTCTGTTCACCATGGTCGCCCGCACTGTTTCACTATATGTGTTATCTTCGTCTCATGGGCACGGTTTGCGAATGGGGTGGTGGGGATACGCGAAGCGTACATTCTTGTCATGAGGGGGAAGATGTTTGCCACAACGTGCAAGCGCTGCTAACAAACGAACATACAGACGTAATCTAGTACAGACGTACAGTGGAAAAAAGAGAAACATATATATATATACTTATAGCAAATTACACCGCTTGGAAAATAACCGAATGCGCATGTTACTCGAAAGAAGCTTGGACAGCGATGATGTATGCATCTATACAACACTGTACATCGTTACCAACTAGAACATATGATCGCCATATATCTGCCAGACCATAAGTAAATGGCTCAAGACCTAAGGGTACGGTCAGGAACGTTTGATTTGAGTGCCGCGGCGGCGGGCCCCAGCGGCACGCCATCCCTTGCAGGCGGATGGCGTGTCACTCCACTCCGCGGGGCGGGAGGCTGGGAAAGGCTCGGGACCTTGACGCTTAGGTATGGGGACGTGGATAACGTGTCGCGCCGACGCGTGGTGGGCCAGAGCCGGCGGAGCGACCGCAACTGGCCTCACCAGCGCCCGCGCCAGCGCGACCCGCTGCCGCTCCCCGCCGGACAGCAGCTGGCCGCCGCAGCCCACCGAAGAGGCGTAGCCCTGCGGCAGGGCGGCAATGAAGCCGTGGGCGCCAGCGGTCTCGGCGGCCCGCTGGATGTCCGCCTCCGCTTAGCTGCCCCGATACGCAACGCGCAACCCGTGGCGATTTGCCACGTAGCTCGACACGTGGATGGAAGACGTGGGCCCGGCGCGAGACGCTCGCCGAAACGTCGGCTATCACGTGCGCGAGAGACGTGGGTGCATGGGGAACGTGTTGCCTTTCAGCACGTGCGCATCAGGACAGCTGAGCGCCTCCGTGGCCGCGCCGCTGGCGGCGGGGAAGCCGAACGCGATGGCCCCGGAGACCGAGCCGCCCAGCAGCGCCGACTGCTGCGGCGCCACGCTCAGGCGGCCCCGCAGCGAGGGCCGCGGCAGGCCGCGGACGTCGCTGCCCCCCACGAGCACGCGGCCCCCCGCGGCGTCGTGGTCGCCGAGCAGCAGGGCCACGGCCGTGGACTTGCCGCTGCCGGACGGCCCGACCAGTGCGCAGGTCGTGCCCGCGCGCACGTCCAGGGAGAAGCCGCGGAGCACCTGCCTGCCGCCCGGGTACGAGAAGTCCACCCCCTCGACACGGGAAAGCGAAGCAGGCACACAGTAGACCCCGACCCTGCCCAGGCCTAATCACCCAGTGCCGAGGATCGGTGCCCGCGCCCCCCTGGCTCGGCCAGGGAGACACGTGCACCGATCCTGGGCCCAGGGTGGGCCTGGCCAGGCTCGGTGCACACCGAGATGCGACGGCGCGGGATCATTGAAACAGAATCACGACCAAAGCCCCAGACCCCAGCTGTCTGCGCCATTTATCACGCCGGATCGATGTGTGAGGGCCCCGGGGCCCGAGACCTCCCGGCTCGAAAAGACTGAGATGCCAGGGTCTCAGGATCTCAGGGCATGTGCGCATCTTAGCTGCCCCGATACGCAGCACGCAGCCCGCCGCGTGTTGGCGCGGAACTCAACCCGTAGATAGAAAACGCTGGCTTGGCGCGATAAGTTCGTCAAAACGTGGGCCCACGCCGCGCAGAGCCTGCACGCAGCGTGCTCCACCCAGACGCTTGGAACGCGGCCGGTGCTGCTTTTCAGCGCGGGCGCATCAGGGCAACCACTGCGCCGCCAGAATAGGACCAGATTCCCTGCCTCTGGGCCGTGCCCCGAGGACTCGGGGAGCAGTGGATGTGGATATCTGCCCGCCAACGCGGGCGGGCAGATACCCTCCTCCTCCTCCTCCGAGGCGGCGGGGCAACCGCGGTGCACACTTCTCCTCGCGCGGCCTCGAACGACACGGGCAGCGCTGGGGCCGAGGGCGCCGAGGGGTCCGCGGCGGCCGCGGCGCCCGCAGCGCCGGCCGCGGCGGGCAGCGTCGCGGCCAGGCGCGCCGCGGCGGCGCGCGCGGCTGCCACCTCGGGCGCGAGGCCGACGAGGCCGTAGAGCCCCAGGCCGAAGAAGGAGGAGTGGAAGAAGAAGGACGTCAGCTCCTCAGTGTCTGGTGGATCCAGCGAGCAGAACATGCACCCTCATAACACCCCAATCCCAATCGCCACGACGCGCGAGGCCGTTCAGCAAAACGCACCCAAAGAAGGAAGCGAACAGGGCAAGGCTGTTTGGCAAACGCCCAAGACCGTGTAGTAAACGCCAGATATCGGGTCCGGGCGGTTTTCCCCCCCTTTGTGATCACCGCTCTCTGATCTGGGCTTTGCACCCTTTGTCGCCACGGGCGCGGTCGCTGGGTTTCGGGGCCCTGGGGCCCTCACAGATCGAGCCGGCTCGAAAAATGGCGCAGACGGATGGCGCCTGGGGCCCCAGCCGCAGTTTTTGTTGGACTTGACTGGGGAGGATGTCAGCTCCTCAGCGTCCCAGACATTCTCGCGTCGCGGGAAAAATCCGTGCGGCAAGTCTTCCTCTATTTTCAGCCTCCGGGAGCCCTCACTGGGCCGGGGACCGTCAAAAGACGGCACGGGATGCAAAACTGGTCCTGGGGAATGGGTCGAGACCTGGGGCTCGACGTGATGAAAGAATCATGGCGTCGGTGGTCTGGGTGTCTGCTTGATCACCACTCGGCCGATCACACCACCCAGTCACCTGATCTGAACGCACCCCGATCTCGATGGCAGCCGCGCTCGTCACGGCTCGATCGCGCACGCAAGCTCGGACGACCGCGTGACCCAGCCGAACCGATCACGTGAGCAGCGATCACGTGATCCACCCATCACTGCGACCTGTGATCGCCGATCGCGTGATCAGCAGACACCGAGGTCAGCTCCCCGGCCGTGAGCTCGCCGCGCTGCACGAGGCGGCTGCCGAGGGTCGCCAGCCCGAGCATGATGCCCTTGGAGATGAAGTCGAAGATCATGTGCGCTATGCCGCGGCTCTTCGCCGCGCGGGAGGCCACGGCGGTACAGGCGCCATACATCTTGCCGAACTCGTCAGCCTCGGTCTCCGCGCGGCAGAACCAGCGCACGAGGTCTGCGTGCTGCAGCCTCTCCTCCGCAAACTCCAGCGCCTCCTCGCGCGCCGCCGCGAGCTGTGCGGCCGCCTTCGCCCCGCGCTTTGCGCCAGCCCGCGCACCGTGCAGGGTGCCCGTGACGAGGAGCGGCCAGACGGCCGCGGTGAGCTTCCACGAGGCCAGCAGCATCGCGACCGTGCCCCCCACGACCGAGGCTGTGAACCGCGCGACGTTCTGCAGCTTGGGGACCACCTCGCGGTGGGGGGGGGGCCACGAGGCACCGATGCCGCTGCTCCTGGGACCTCCCCAGGGGCACGTTCTGACCAGAATTTCGGGGCGACTCCAACCAGATGGCGGTGGTAGGTTTCAGGTTGCGAACAGACGGCCCTCCCAGGTAGTCCCGTCTGGCCTCAACAGGCGCCAAGAGTAGCCAAGGGCGGTCTCAATACCCCTGCGCTGGGGCGCGGCGCGCCCCAAGGGCGCCGCCGGCGGCGGCGCCAGGGTTGTGAGAGCGCCTGGGGCTACTCGGGGCGGCCCGTCGAGGCCAGCCGTGACTGCCTGGGGGGGGGACTGTCCGTGCGCAGCCCGAAGCCTTGCATGCCAGGCAGCGGCCCCGCATCTCTTCCTCTTCGGAACCTCTGCGCACAGCCCCACGTCACTGTCGAGCACGGCCGCCGCCGAAGGCGCCGCGCCGTCAGCTCCGCCGCCGCCGCCGCCCTGGCCGCCCTTGTCAGCAACTCCGAGGGGCGTGGCTTGCAAAGGGTTTGGTGTGCAACCCACACCCTGGGGGGGCGGGCGAGGACCTCGGCAGAACTCTCTCCGCGCGCGCCCCGACGAGGGCTCATCAGACCGGTGGCGCCACGCCGCGACCCCCCGGAAGCCCCAAACGGCGCCGATCGCAGCCCGCACACCCCGGCGCAACCACGCCCGTTGCAGTCGCCGACCTTGGCCTCCCCAGCCCCGGCCGGAGCGCCAGGGTCCCTGAGGTCCCGCGGCTCCAGCAGCAGGCGGGCCGCGAAGACCTCGGCGGCCAGGGAGGCGCGCAGGCGCTCCGCCGCGCCGTCGAAGACGACCGTGCGCACGCAGCCGGCGCACGCCCCCAGCGCGAAGAGGCCGAGGCTGCGGGCGGTCGTGGAGGAGTCTCCTGAGGGGGAGAGCGAGCGCCGACGCCGACGCCAACGCCGCTGCCGCCGCCGCCGCCGCCGCCGCCACCGCCCACGACGACGACGACGACGACGACGACGACGACGACGACGACGACGACGACAACGCTGACGACGACGACGACGACGACGACGACGACGACGACGACGACGACGACGACGACGACGACGACGACGACGGTGGCATCGGCGGCAGCGGCGGGGCGGCGGTGGCGGCGGCGGCGATGACGGTGGCGAGGGCGCCGACGAGGGGGACGAGGATGATGAGGAGGAGGGCGCGGACGAGGGCGAGAGAGGAGGAGGAGGAGGAGGAGGAGGCAGCTCGAGCAACGAGAGGGCAGGGCAAGGGTGGCATTTTGTTTCTCAGGAGCCCCCCTGCCTTCCACAAGAAGCCTTCTTGGAAAACTTCAATTCAAATCTCTTCTAGCATCCCTGCCTTTTCAGAGAGCCGTTCAACAATTACCCAATCAGAATACTACTCTTCGGGAATCTGCTGACCCGGGTCAACCCAAACCCAGGTCGGTCAGGCCTTGTACGGTCCTGCAAGACCCTGCAGGATCATTCACGTGAACCGGGTCAGTGAATCCCTGGCTCGGCAGGATCCTGCAAGATCGGGCGCTCTGA